GTGAAGCATTTCGAAGGTCTTCATGGTTTGTTCAAGCCATTCGTCTGCTCTCTTTGGCTCGGGGCCACCATAGAATTCATCCGGCTTGGCCCGCAAAAACTCCCTCGTGAGGAAGCTCGCCCTTGTCTCCACAACATTCTCCCTAGCCTGGGTCTCCGCCCTAAGTATGTTCATGGACTCCCTCAATGCCCCAACCATCTCCCAGGCTAGAGCCCCTTTTGTGACTTGGCCGGCTTCTCCCGACACTTCCGCTTGCCCCACTTGTTTGGCCATGTCAACTTGGCCTAGACCCTCTTCTTGTATTGGGACCTCGTGGACCGGTATCTCATATACACCTCGGCGGCCTCGACCTCGCCTTCCACCCCTACCACCTCGTGTTCGAATCCTTCCCGACATTCTAATTGAGAATCAAGGTAAATAATTTAGTACATCATCCCAAATGTGCTCGCAACTTGCCTCACACGTTAAACTATAGCAATTCCATATACTTTATCACACAAATAATTTAATTCACTCCACATAAGCACTTAGTCACATAAACACATACGAAATATCCTTTAGTGATGAGATTCGTCCTATGAAAAACCAAGAATTCTTAGTAGAATGAGTATTGATCAAGTACCCTTCTAAGAAGACTTCAAGGAATCTAACAGGCGCAAATAACATCCCAAAAGTCCAATCACATACCCACATAGTCACGTAAACATGCTATCACATAATCACAAATAAACAAACATTTCCTAGTCATGCGAAATTAACCCATCGTGGTATGGCAACCACTTTTCGTGAGCCCCCAAGTATTCAAACCTGGTAGCTCTGATACCAAGTTGTCACGCCCTGAATTAATCCCAACATGAATTATACATCAACCACATACATTCATTAATTACAACCATTCTCCATTTTTTGTATCAAAAATCTCCATGGTTTATACAAGGGTTCCACATGCAAATATACATTCAATGATAAGAAAACACCTGAATCTATAGCATGTGAAACATAAAGTCTCAAAATAAAAATAAAATAAAAGAGATGACCTTACGGGCTTACATCTTCTAAGGCAATAGTCCGGTTACACAAAATGGTCTTTCGGACCCATACCAAATTAGCCCTAGGCTTTACAAAAATTACAAAAAAAGAAAGAGTGATCTACTCTTCACCAAAACATATCCACACCCTTAGCTTGGCGGGATCACAACATCCTTACTTGCACCAAATCCCATAGGGGTGAGCATAAAGCCCAGTAGAGAATTCCCACAAAGTATATACAGTTATGCAACTCCAATTAAAAATGCAAATGTCAATGCCATGCCACGCACCTTTTAAAGAAAATCCATTTCATGCTCTTTTAAAGATTACCATCTTTCAATAAAATTTGCAATCTCAGCTTATTTCAAACATTCTTATTTTTAATCAATAAGGGGCGGTAAATACGACACTGGTAATCCTTAGGCTGGTGTCTGCAAGTAGACTCTACAAGTACTACGAAATTGTCATTTTTACCGGTATTAACCGGAAGGCTCGACACCTATCCGCATAGGTTTCTGGTCTTTCACCAAGGACACTTAGGCCAACTTATCAAAGTCATCTACACTCCCTAAAATTTGGGAATTTGGGAATTTTGGCAAATGAGAAAAATACCTATGAAATTCTTTATTCTTTTATGTCAAGAGGGTGAATGAAAGTAAATTTCATTAATGTTTAGAGAAATAGCCATCTATGTGAGGTAAGGGAAATGAGATGTTATTTTCATATAATTGTTAAACACTAGAACATGGATTGTTGGAAAATGATAAGTGGTTGTGTGCCTTGAAATGTAAGAATTGTAAAATCTTGGAGAGTTATGTTGAGAACATCATATATATAGTCTTGAAGAGGCTAACTTGCTATGAATTGTGCATGGCGATTGATTGTGGTTGTTGCTATGAATGGAAGGCACATGGTTATGTTGTGAAATAATATTGCAAGAGAAGAAATGAGAAATTGAAATTAATTGATCTTGTTGTAGAGATATTTGAAAATAAAGAAATATTATGAGATATTGATTATTGCGTCGCATTCTTATTTGATAAATTATCGTTAATGTGCATGAAATGAATGATTACCATTATTGCATTCTCATCATGTTTACTTAAGGGGAATTATATTGTAATGAGAACTAACGGAAATGTGAAAGGGGTAACATCAAGACAAAACACTTCTCCTTTCCTTGGTAAATCCCAACTAAAATCACATTTCTTAGGTTATATGAATGAACAATCAACATAGAGTAACAAGGATTGAGTTTTGGAAACCCACATTTAAAATTTCTCTACATTATGACCCAAACCCTAAAATCAACACAAAACTTTGAGAGAACTCTGAAACCACCATCAATGTAGCAAAACATGTATATATAACTCAAGAAATCCCTACCTCAAGCTTGATGAAGAAATGGAGATGATGAGAGGGGAAAACCCTAGAAATCAAAGGTTGTCAAAGCTCAATCTCCACCACACAATGTACTTCTTGCTTGCTCACCAAAATAGAGAGGGATGATGGTGGATCTAGACTCCAAGATTTGTAGGAATCAAAGAGTTTTGGTGTTTGATGATGTTTTCTAGAGAGAAGGGGGAGCAAATGTGTTTTTAGAGAGAGAAAAGTGTGAAATAAATGAGATACAAACAGTCCTAAAAGAGAAAGAAAAACAGAGCCTCTGACTACCCAGACGTCCTGCACGTGCGGCTCCCATCCCCGCACGTACGGCCCTTCATGCGCACACCTTGCTCCGCACCTGCATATTTTGCAGTATGCAAGCCAAACAAACCCCTGAATTCTGCACGTGCGGCTTGGCCTCCCGCACGTGCGGCCCTTTCCCGCATGTGCGACCCATGGCCCCCGCACGTGCGGGCCTTGGTTTCCAGCCCAGAATTTCTGGTCCAAACCCCCTGGGCACTCTGGACTCGACCAAGCACCCTCCAAAGCAAGGAAAACATTAACACTGAAACGAACAAGGATGGAAATTTCAAGGAGAGTTCCCAAATCACCACAACCCGAAAGATCAACCAAACTTAAGTGGAACTTGACACACTAACGAGGCAAAATAGAAGTTAAATAAAAAGAAACAAGACGGATAACACCCGGGCCATCACAATTAATCTAAAATGGTGGGGCTTTTGTGGGTTTATGTAACATAAAAATATTAATTTATTTGAGGTTTTATTTATTAGGTTTGTGTGATTGAAGTGGTGGAGTAGGGTGTTTGGAGTTGGTGTTGGAATATTATTTCTAAGCGTTTGAGGTAAGTAACCCTCTATCACTGTTGGTACATTTTTTATTCAAATTGAATCGTTTAAAATTATAAGTATTTATTCGTAACCTTCATGTTCTCTTAAAATAAAATATGGGTCAAGTATAAAATAGCATCGAATATTATTATGAAAATTATTTGAATATTTTATGGAACTATTATGAAAATTGTACTAAATGTTTATTCTGAAAATATCGAATATTTTATTTAAAAGTTGTGTATTGTTTAAATTTTGAACATCACTCTAGTTTGACTATGATTTGGACCCTAGCCAATAGGGATTATTTATTAGCACATAAACTAGTTTCTTTTGGGGCTTTACCACCGGCCTATGTGTGGTTCTGGGCCTTGTCACAAGCTAAGTGACCGTAGTCACCAAGACTTGGGTTTTGTGAATCGCATCATTGAATTATTGAATATCGAACCATCAATTTGAACAACGAAATTTCGTCGAATCATCTCATTGTCTTTTCAATTAAAATGTATTGCTACACTGTTTATTTTCAGCTATGAAACCATCTTACAAAATAATTGTTCATTTATTGAATGGTAGCAATATATATATATATATTTGTATACTTGATCCAGCTTGCGGTAATGGTTGGTTATTTACTAGGCAGTCTAGTTCACCCTTATTTTATTTTTTTCAGATTCTGAGGAGTAGAGCTGCGCGGGGTTTTTACTTGTAGGAGTGCCGAGAGTAGGATTATGATTTAAGTACTTGGATTTTTTTTTTTAATTTTTATTGGTGGACTTGGTGGACAGTTTTATATGATGAGAATTATCTATTTGTATGGTTTTTAGCATTATGATATTTAAGGATTTAATTTGAGTATTTTACATTATTGGTTAAGTGTTGGACTCTTTGTCTTGCATGCTCACTTAAATGAGTGTGAGGCGTTGTCACAGAACTTGGAGCGTGATAGAAATTGAACAATTTAAAAGTTGACAACAATGGGTTCTCATCTTCAATTATTACCAACAAATAATAATTTAGTGAAAGGTGCCACGTCTGATTGGTAAGTCAATTTGGTATAAAAATTTAATCGTCACAGCATTACTCTAAAGAGAAAAAAAATATATATATATATTTGAATGATCAAAAACACCATTCCAAATCTAATCACATTATTTGTTTGGAAACTATGTTTGAATGACAAAAATATCAAAAATTACATTTCTACTAATGAGATTATTGTGTCCTTGTGATTCATGCATATGGTTTAATTATGGATTGTGAATTAATATTATAAGTTCATTTAGAGTAATGTGAAGTTTTTGTATGTAAATTATTTTCTAAACTTTTACCCAAAAAAAAAATATGAAAAGAGAGAAAGGAACATGAATCATGAAAATATACAAATGCAATATCCAATAAGTTAATTGTGAGCTCTTACAACAAATAAATGGAAATACAAATTTTGTTATCAATAACAATTTTACTCAGAACATTTTTATCATATTTTCTATTGTGTACTCATAATTGAAGCAAAACTCACATGGTATAATTGTGTAAGTTTCACTCCTATTATGAATACACAATTTAAAATATGATTAAAAATCTCAAACCTCCAAACTTACTCTATCACACACAAAAACATTTCTTCATCATACCATGAATGTAAAAAGACAAATCCTACTAGATATGTGAAAATCACAAAGAAAGTACTTTAAATGAAATTTCGCTCCTATTATGAATACGCAATTAAAAATATGATTAAAAATCTCAAACCTCCAAACTTACTCTATCACACACAAAAACATTTCTTCATCATACCATGAATGTAAAAAGACAAACCCTAGTAGATACATGAAAATCACAAAGAAAGTACTTTAAATGAAATTTCATCCTCCTCACATTCCTTCTTTCATCACCTACATCCCTCCCTGAATTGCATCAACCACCGTCATATTAACTTGAAATGTCTTGGCAAGAACATCGCCATAAATCATTGGTTTTGATCGGAAAACAGCGTTGGCCACCATCATAACACCAGGATTCTGGCTGCTTAACCCATCAATCGCGATAGCACTTCCTTTCATAATGAATGAGTCCTATTGGGAACACAAACACATCACCTTTCTAAAGAACTTTACTAATAAAACGGTTTTCAAGGTTGGAAGTAACGAAGCCGACCTCGAGGGTGCCTTCACGGACGGTGAAGATTTCAGTGGCACGAGGGTGTATGTGAGGAGGGTTAAGGCCCCACGGAGCATAGTCGATGCGGACCATGGAGATACCGAGAGTGTTGAGCCAATAAATATTTCAAATAGACAAACATCCAAGCCATATGGGCATTGGCAGAGCAAAAGAAGGGTAAATGCTGAAACAACCCTTGATGTTTTTGTTGATTACAAATGTTTGTTGTTATTATTGAACTGCAGGTTCTCTGTGTTTGGGATGATGAATAAGGTATGCAAAAGCCATTTGCTTTTCAACTCTGCAGTATCTTTTGGATTTGGAATAAATTAGTTGTGCTTATTTCAGTGTGTAACACCAATGGGTAGACGTCTCTTGAGGTAAATTCAAATTGAGAAATTTATTGTTCTACTACTTCTAACCATTTTAACCCAAGACCCCTGGATGATGGTTTACTTTGCACTAAGAGCTGGTTCCTGAGGCCTATACTAGATCTTGATGACCTTAATAGTCGTCTTAATGTTGTATCCTTTCATCCCCTCAAGATTACTTTAATGTTATCAGGACTAAATCACTAGTTTGAAATGCTAGAACATGACATAGTTAACCTGAAAGCATTGTAAGATGAGGTTTGGCTGTTAACCTGAAAGCATTGTAAGATGAGGTTTGGCTGAAATCAAGCCCTGAGCATGAAATTTAGAAATCCACATTTCTAACTATTCCATGAAGGGTGATTACATAACTAAACATGAACTAATAAATGGATTCCCCTGCATTTGAATTCTGTATCCTTAATCTACCTTGCGAAAAATTCATATACTTTAACAGAATGAAGATATCATTCTTCCTTTGTTCTGAAGAACTGTTGGCTTCTTTACGGGAAACTCTGAAGTCGGTCAAGGATATCCTCCACATACTCAAGGTGCACTAATATCTTACCTATGTTCTTTCTTCTATCTATATCCTACATTTGTATTATTTCCAAAATAAAGAATTTAAACTTCATTTTTCAATTAGTAACTGCAGACGTGAATCAGTGGCTGGAAACTAAGCAATTTTTCACACTTTCAATATATTAATTATTTCTATCTGATTTAAAGGTTTGTAAAAGTGCAAACCTTTAAATCAGTTTAATAACCTCACACAGCCCCTTTTTTTGCTTTGCTGAAAAGAGTCATTTTGAAATGGAGATTTTGCCTGAAATTTGTAGTTGTAGCACATTGCCACTAGTTCTTTTGAACACTTACTATTATGTGGTTCAAAATGATGGGCACAAAAAAAAATTTGTATTATGTTTCTTTTATGAATCTGTATTTAATCAGATTTTAAATTTATGAATCTTTTGCTTTTGCTTCTGGAAGAAATTCAACTCCCCAAGTTCTGCATGTACAACTGGCGATTGGACAGCTTTTCTGAAGGTAAAATTTCCTCTTTCATGGTATTTGTTCCGTGTACAGTTGTTACAACAATCCATTTTACACTTTCTCTTATAGAGCATTTGTTCACTCCTACATGTGAACAAGATATTTGAAGTTGGCATTTCTGGAAGTCTTCGAGAGCAAATGAAATATTTGAATTTGGACATTGTTCAATAGGTATGAAAACTATTAGTTTAACTAATTCTTTCTAAATTTGTGTGACATATACTCACAATCTCTTGTTCATGTGTTTAAATTTGTCACAGACTGGATCATGCATTTTGACAGACTTGGCTTATGTATATGAATTGGTTAGTTTATCTATAGACCTTAATATTTCATTAGGCTACTTTGTATGTACTTTGCTAAGATTCCTCAAAGTTCCGAGATCAGGAAGTTCTGTCCTTCAATCTAGGGTAGCCAATGACTTCAATAAGATGCCTGAAAATGTATCCCACTCCGCTCTACAGGCCATACACCTTTACTTGTGCTCAAAGTTCTATTTGTGTCTGTCTAAAGGACTTTTAGTCTAGTAACATTAGAACTCTTGCTTGAAACTAAGCTTTTGATATTTTATCCCTAATTATTTGTGAGAGCCTTATTCAAAGCTGTCTGCTCGTTTAAAAGAAAAAGGAAAGAAAAAAAAAAAGTGCAAAAGAGAGGAAATTATTGTATTGGAGAAACTTTTAGATTGAGAACAACATATATATATATATTTTTATTATTCTAGAACAAGGTCTGAAAATGACGAAATAAGGCTTGGTTGCCAGTGTAACCAATGACTATGTTGTTGATTTGGTTCAAATCTTTTCTTAACTTTCTTTAGTTCTGATGTAAACTAGTGGAGTGGCTAAGACAAACAGAAATGGATGAATATTAGATGAAGCTAAATGATACATAAGGCCTTATATTGGTTATTTACATCTTGCCCTCCCCAGGCCCCACTTTGGCAGGGGCCTCGTGCACTGGGTCACCCTTTCTTATTCCCAACCTCCCATTTCTTATTTCTGCCAAGATGTTAAACCTAACATTCCCACTCCACATCCCTTGCCCGAGGGGGAATCATTTAGTTGAAGCCATTGTTGATGTTTTTTTTTTTTGCAATGCAAGAATTACAGGTGACCTTGCAAGTGCAGTTGAAAAGGGCTTTCAATGTGAAGTACTGCATTTCTGTAGTCATTGATTCACTGATTTTATTAATCTCTTTGTTTTTTACAAGTTTCTTCTTTATTCTTTTTTCTTTAATTGTGTACTTGCTTCTTTCTTTATTACGTTTTGAGTAACTTTCTTGTGTTTGTGTTGTGTTGTGTAGGTGATTGGTGTTATTGATGTGAGCAGAAGTAAAGACAAGGGTTATGGGACAATAGTGAAAGAAGGGTTCTGTGATGAGGTAATACACCCTTCCTATTGGTGATCTTATCTTATTTCATAAAATTAAAGCCTTTAGGTATTTTCTATAGTATTGTATTCTCTTATTTATTGTAATTATAAACCAAATCAAATCAAACCAAATCAAGCATAGCCTTAAGTCCCATCAAATGGGGTAGGATTATTTATCACAGTTATGAATTAGAAAATTTTAATTTGTTTACCTTGTGCCTAAGCCACCTACTCTATCCACTGCCTTCTTTATAAAATGTTCAAATAACAAGATTAGTAGTGAAATGATTGAGTTTGTTGTTATACAAAATTCATGAGTGATGATACAAGGTCCTTCATATTCTTGCTGCTAGTTTTCTTAATGTCTGCAACTATTCTTCTTCCCCTCAACCCCCCCAACCCACTTCTGACAAATCATTCCACCATGTTGAATTGCAGTTGGATGAGCTGAGACAAATATATAAGGAATTGCCAGAATTTTTGGAAGAGGTGCTTGTTCTTATTTTCTTTTCAGACCAAATTTAGAAATGAATTTGATAGGACTTCACATATTTTGATAACACAAGTGCTTTACAGGTATCATCATTGGAACTTGCTAGGCTTCCTATTATGTCTGGAGACAAGTTTCTTACATCAAATAGGTTGGTCTCTGTTTCAATACCAATTTTAAAAATTATTGTGTTTGGTTTGAGTTTTTTGGATTAAATTTTTAAAAAATTGAGTTTTTTGGTTTTCATATTTTTTTGTTTTTAGTGAATATTTTTAAAATTTTAAACATTTTTTTTTTTATTTTTTTAGATACACCTTACTTAGATGTATCTAAAAAATAAAAAAATTTGTGAAAAGTATTTTTAAAGATTAATAAATACATAAAAATACAAAAAAACGTACTGAATTCTTGTAATTTTTTTTGTATTTTTGGTATTTAGTGAATTTTTAAAAGGTTTTTTTCACAATTTTTTTACTTTTAAGGTATATTTATGTTAAGTATGTCTAAAAAGTAAAAAAAAAATTGCTTAAAATAGTAAAAAAATTCAGTAAAAACAAAAAAAAACACGGAAAACAAGAAAGTATAATTTTTTGAAAAGTGTTTTTTGAAAAATCTAACCAAGCAATATCATTAGATATTTAATGAATGATCCCATCTTCATATGGATTGAAGATTTCTTGATGAGGAACAGGTTTGATCCATCCAACTTTAGTTTCTTCTATTCTTTATTTTCTTTCATCCATTCATGGAGGTCTTCCAACTGTGAAAACTTGTGGCTCATGACCAAACAAGCAACATATAAGAGCAAAATAATAATAATAAAAAAAAACTATAAAAAGTAGGGGTGGGCGCGGGTCGGTTGCAGCCACGGAACCTCCAATCTGCCATCTGTCCGCCAGATTGGGAAAAATCAATCCGCATCCGTCTGCCAATCCGGCAGATGTGGATTGAGCGGATTGGCGGTTTGGCGGATGGATGCGAATCGGTTTGGCGGTTTAACATTTTATAAATTTGCAACATAATTCAACTTGTGCACTTCCTCAAAAAAAAAAAAAGAAAGTATTACAGTTAATGACTTAAAAAAATATTACAATCACTGCATACCTCATCCAAAGCAAGAAAGTTTGAAACTTTAGAATATCACAATCAATGCATGTCTCATCCACATACTACAATCACAGCATGTCTTATCCACATAAAGTATTACAATCTATGGTTCTTAAAATATAAAAACAATTCAAACCACCAAAATCATGAATAGAGCAGTAGTAGAGGTTGTATGTCTCTGTGTTGTTACATCTATATCTGTTTTTGAAAACAAAAACCAACCTGCATATATTATATTTTCTATTTATTATTTTTAGAGATAGATTTAAAAACCAAAAAATATAGATAAATAATACGTTTATTTTTTTCAATTTAAAAAAGATATTCAAGTTGAAAACTTTTTTTCAACAGAATATTTAAACTCTTTTTTAATTGAAAACACAAACAAAATATTTAAATAAACTGAAAACACAAAGTCTTATATAAATTACTAGGAGTGCTTGCGGTTTGGAGGTTCGATTGCGGTCAAAGGAACCTCAAATCCGCCATCCGTCCGCTAAATTGGCGGATTAGAGAAAATCAATCCGCAACCGCCCGCTCGTCATCACGCATCCATTCAAAATGCAGTGGATCGGTTCGGTTCGGTTTTGGCGGATCAGTATATCCGCTGCTTACACCTAATAGAAAGTAATCTTCTTTACATTAACTTGAAAATTTTAATTTGGATTTTATTATCCATCTTGAAATTGTCCTAGAATCACCAGACTACGATACACATGGACAAGATATATTATATGACATTTCCTTTTAAAAGATCATGAGAATCTTGCTTTAACAAGAGCTTTCTTGTAATATTCTTAATCCGAAGAACACTTTTTATGATTCTTTTCGTTTTCATTTTCTTTTTTTAAAGTATGCCAATTGGGATTGCTATGTCGGTTATTGATTTTAAGCTTTAGTACATTGATTAATGCTATGGCTTTTTTGTTTATATGTAGGTTACCTGATGTGTGTTTTCGAAGAAAAACTTGATGAAACCACACTAGAAAATCTTCAAGATTTTGAATTTGCTGTAAGTCAATCAATGACCTAAATTGGAACTAATAGTTTATGCAGTTAATTTGCATATTTTCATTCATACTAGAAAATGTGCCACCAAATGTAGTTCTCAGATGAAGATGGAGACATGAAAAGTTTTTCTATTGCACCTTGAAGACACGAGAATTGGACAACCTTCTTGGGGATATATATCACAAAATCCTAGGTCTGTAGTCTAATTCACTCTTCTGCTATGTGTTGTTATTCCAGATGACAATTTCTAAACTGCTTGGCCAAGAAGAACATACATTACTAAAAAAAAGTGCCATGTTTGCATCTGACAGCATATTGAACATTGACACTCATTGGACACCCCGAACATGTGTCCAAACGTGTCAAATTATTATTATTATTATTATTATTATCATTTTTTTTTTTGTGTGGAACCAGACATGCTTTGGACACTTGAGGGAAACACGTGTTCATTGCTTAAATGCTTATAAAACACATTGCCAGTTTGAAAAAGTTAACTTTGGAACCTATGATTAAAATAAAAATAATGTGGATTTATACCAAATCATTGATGAACTTAATGTAGCCCCAACAGTTTACTTGTGAGTGATTTGATGATGCTTTTTAAAAAAATTAAAAACAAATTAATGTCTTATCTTCCATTCCTTTTTTGAAGACATGGAGAGGGCAATTACTGGGGACTTGGTGTCACAAATTCTTCTATTCTCAGCATATCTTCTCAAGGCTTTGAATTTTTCAGCTGAACATGACTGGTAATTTAGTAACATCTATTTTATTTGCATTGCAATATCTTGTTAGGTTTTCATGTCGTGATATTTTTTCACTTTTCAAAAAAAAAAAAAGGAAAAGGAAAATTCCTCACTGTATTTTTTCATGTTGTCACCCAGCTTTTTATCACTGGCATTGGTTGCTCGTCAAAATAATTATGTGAGGCCAACTTTGACTGCAGAAGACTTGCTTGATATACAGAATGAAAGGTTAGGTTGTCTAGTACAGTCTACAATATGTCAATGATTTTATTTGCAAGGTCATATTATAATAGATTAGAGAAAAAATTGGGCATCCACCAAAGGAATCCTAACAAGTAGTTAATTCAGACATGTTTTGCAGGAAATGACTGTAGATACTTTCATTCCCAATGATACAAAGATTCATGATGATGGTATTTGTAGTTAAACATCTCTAAGTATATTGGTTTCTTACTCCACTCGCCAATAAAGTCTTTTCTCATTCGAATATACTAGTTATTCTTGTTAAACTAACAAAGTCACACTTCTTCAGGAAGGATTAATATCATCACTGGCCCCAATTATTCAGGGAAAAGTATCTACATAAAGCAGGTTAGTAGTTATTATATTTCTCTTGATGGAACCAACACACTCTCCTTCACTTTCTTTTTCTTTCTCTCCTTTGAATGATTCACCCACATGTATCAGTAGATATATGTCATATGTTTGAGTGTTGATGTAAGTGTATAATTTGCAATCCTATATAATATTTGCTTTAAGTCAATTATATTGTCTATTTTATTATTTCTTCAATAGTTTTATCTGACAACTATAAGTGTAAGGTTTGTCAGTGTTTCACCTTCCTCTTTGTGTCAAAGTTTTAAGAATAATGTTGCATTTATGTTCTGTATAAATGCGCTAATCTTTGATAAATAGAAATACTTATTTGACACATCTCGAAAGATAATTTTTTTTTTTCCAGGTAGCTTTAATTGTTTTCCTTTCCCACATTGGAAGTTTTGTACCCGCAGATGCTGCTACTGTGGGTTTGACTGACAAGTTCGATATTTATATCCCTGGCCTTTAGGTATCATTAATTTTTTTGGTACTGCATTTTTTGCATATTTTACTATGAGAACTTACCAGAATTCCAAAAAATAGGATATTTTGTGCCATGGGAAGTAAATTTATGAATGCTGAACAGTCAACATTCATGATTGATCTACATCAAGTTGGAATGATGCTAAGGTATAGTTACACAGTTTTCTCCTAACCTACTAATAATGGACATGGGATTGGCATCTATGGTAGAAAGGGTGCTGGAACCATAGGGTATACAACTTAGTCATTTATATATATTGATTCCGAGAACTTTCATAGGCATGCAACTTCACGATCTTTATGCTTGTTGGACGAATTTGGTAAAGGCACTCTAACAGAAGGTTGGTTTTACCAAGAATAATTTCTATCCTTTTGATATGTCATGCAATAAATGTAATTTTTTAGCTATCATACGCTGTTGTTAAAATTCATTTCAGATGGCACTGGTCTCCTTGGTGGAACTATAAATCATTTTATCACGTGCTATGATCCTCCAAAGGTTTGATGCTCTCACTCGCTATCCAACCAGAGTTTCTAATAAATGCAAATTCATATTAAGAGTGCATTCCTGGAGGCCACCTCTAGGTTTGCTAGTCACATTTGTTTTGATAGACAACATGTGATGGGATATGCTCTACTAATTTGCAGGTTTTGGTTTGCAGTCACTTGACCGAGATGTTTAATGATAGTTGCATACAAGAGGTATAAACAAGACATTGCACTTTTTAAAACTTTAAGTATTAACTATTTCAACTGCGTGACACATCTATATATATATATATATATTATTTGCAGTCTGATAACATTAAGTATTACACCATGAGTGTGCTACAACCTGACGATGGTACAGATATTGAAGATATTGTATTTCTATATAGGTAAGTTATTTTTAATATCGTGTAGTATTCTTAAGGAAAATTTCATACACTTTCAGACAAATTCTACCATCTCTTTATGCAGTTATTGTTACACATCATCTGTCGGATTTAGTTTCCAATAGAAATTACCTTTTATCAAACCCCACTCAGATTTTTTAATTTGGTCTTGCAGGCTTGTTCCTGGACATGCACTTCTTAGCTATGGTGAGTAAATAGTGTTTGTGTTTGTTGGGAATTCTGGTACGTTTCAAACTATAGCTGGTTTTCAAAAAATATGCTAGGCATTTCACAATAATTTTTGTGTGTGTGTGTGTGTTTTTCTTAAGCTTCCTTATTATTGCTAGGCAAATGCAAAACAAGGGTTTCATACCCCGCCCATATTTTTTAATCTTTTAGTAAACATTCACTCGTTAAACATTCTGCAATTCCCATGATTTGTCATAGGTTTAAATTCATGCATTCATTTCCATGACAAATTGCGGAGGTTTTACTAGAGGCTTTATTGTCCAAGGTCTCCGGTAATCTGATATTTCTGATAAAATGGTTCATACAGGTGTCCCAGAGGAAGTTATAAAGAGAGCAGCGTCTTTACTGAATGCTATTGGAAATAATAATCATGTTGACCAACTGTGCAATGATAAAATATTAGCTCAAGATTGACAATACAAGGTACTTTCTTTTCTATTCAGAAACTAGTTTTGTAGTTAGAATAAACTCAGAAATTTCCATGTCACCTTTCACATGAATCATTGTGCGTGTGTAAACCAAATGCAGGATACAATTGACAAGATGTTATCATTTGATGCTTGTAATGGGGATCTCAACCTCTTCTTCCAAGATATCTTTCCTTCTTAGATTCATGTAAGCATCAAATCTGTCTTCTTTTTTTCTCCCGCTCATCAATGGCATCACGAAATGCTATTGTAAATTTCTCAGGTTTTTCAGAACCATTCACACACAGGTAAACTTCCTTTGGTATCAATATTGAAGTACTACTGAAACCGAAGGTAAACAAATGGGTAATTTCTGCCAATGCAAGCCATTTTTCTCCTTTTGGTATCAGATTTCTATTAAATCTGAATCAAACAATTTTCGAACTTTTCTCATTCTAATGCAAGAATGTGTATTACAATGATATTTCTCAATAATTTCCATGCTTGATTAGTTTGTGAAAATTGAACAGTTGGAGGCAAATAGAGCTTAGGGTGGTGGTGATATTTCTCAATAATTTTCAGTTTACTATTGTTTATCATACCAAAAACCAGAAAATGTTTTCCAGAAAAACTTCTTTTCGATGAACAAATAGTGTAAAGCAGTTGATTTGTACTAATGCATGCACATATTATTGATCCAGGTAATTGGTTAACAATCCCATCTTCTTTATCCTCTCTGTTCTATGTATTTTGTATTCCTTTCTATGTTTAAGGGCTGTCCTTTGTATTCCTTTCTATGTTTAAGGGCATTAAGGACAGCCCTAACACTTGTTTACACCACTCGGTTTATGCAGCGATTAGCTGGTTCACATTCATAGGCATCGCAAACTGTTGTGAACCGTCAAAAACGGCGTTGACAAAGAGGTGAGCTGCTGCTTCAGTGGGATGGTACAGATCCCAGAAGACATGATCACTTCTGTTGGAGCAGTACTTGGCAACGGGCACGCATGGAACTTGGGCTCTCAGGTTCCCCAACCCACAACAAGCTGATTTAACCTCAATAAAACCTGAATATTTGACAAAATATTGTGGTTAATTGCAATTATTGGAGAAGAATTCCAAAAAGAGCAAGTTACCCATTGGCTTTTGGATTTGTGGAGAAGAGAAAAGTGAATGATTGGTTTAGTTTTCAGATTTTTTTTAAAACTAACAATTGGAAACTAGTTTGATAACACTATTAAATACCAAAAAAAAGATAATTTTGAATTTTTAAAAATCATTTACATCCCAAAAAAGTGAATCATAAGAAAATAATAAGTTTTTTTGAATATTTTAAAATAACAATTTGAGAGAAGTCAAACTTTTTTTAAAAAAATTTCAAAAAGCAAATTCTGAAAACTAAAATTGTCTTTTATATAACAATTCTCTCTTTTTGTTTACCTCTCTAGTAACTTTTTAATCAGTCCAAGATTTGAGATGAGCAAAAACTTCTTTGTGAGAAAAGAGAATCCATTTTACTGCGCACGATTCATGGGTCTTTTTGAATATATATATATATATATATTGGGATCAATGCGACCAGGAATGGATCACACTTCTTTTATTTTTCCATGGCATGAGAGCTTTACTGAATATTCCAGTTATGGTTCAGATTAAATGGCAAACATGTTCAATTATCGAACCAATTTCATCTTTCGTGAGTTGGGTTGGTTTCGTTTTTAAAAGTGGCACAATTTCATCTCAATTTTCATGCGTCTTGGCTTAATTCAATTTAGTTGGTTCATTTTGATTTTAAAATTTGAACAAATCAGCGCTGATTTGGTTTAGGATCTAACATTGCCATTTTGATAACTAATTAGAAGAAAAGAAATGGACCATAGGTGGAGGGTGACTGAATGAAGCTAGAAAAGATGGTGTAGGTGTCAACATAGGAGTAGTCCATGTCATTGAGCTCCGATTTGAGTCCTTGCAACATTGACTTAAGGCTTTCATTGTACTTAACTGACCAGTAATTAGCTTCTTCATTGCATTCTTCACTAGTTTTGTTCTGATTCCTCTGTGAGAGACAACACCCCACTGCTCCTATCCCAGCCACCACGAACTTTCGTGAACCAAAATTATGCATCCTCTACAAACCATTTTTTTAAAAAAAAGAATGTTAAATGAGCAACCATTGAGAAAAAAGTGAGGCAATCTATAACAATTTCGAGAGTAACAAAAATAACTAATATGCTGTATATTATGTTGTAAGAAAAGAAAAAAATGGTAAATGAGCAACCACTAAGAAAAAGTGACGGAAACTATAACAATTTGAAAGAGTAAATAAAAAAAAAAATGCTAAGGCTTGGTTTGGTTTGGTTATATTATTAGTGTCATGTCCTTGAAAAAATGTGAATCAATTAATATGATTTAAATCAATAATAGTGTTTTACGCACCCAATATCATTGGCATAAATTTCCAATTTGAGGTGGGGTTGTTGAAATCATTTTTGTTTGTTTGTTTTGTGTAATGATTTTTTCCGATATATCTATGAGTATAGCCCAAAAGAAAGCTAGGAGACTCGAATCTGGTTTTAGATGAGCAAGTAAAATTTAAAATTAAGGACACATAAAGAACGCTAAGTTCAAACGCAACATTGGATATATATAGCTAAATCATCAACAATCTATTTGGTACAATTTTAAGGTCTCCTTATAACTTATATTTTTATATAATTTTTTTTGGAAGTTTATGCTAATTGTTTGTTATAGCTTATAATTTAAAATTAACTTAAATAAATTAAAATTTTAGTTAATTGTGACAAAATATATAGCTTATTTGGTAAATAACTTGAATGGAGTGAGACTACTAACATGACCAAAAAATTTAAGTATTAATTATATTTATTATATTATAGAGCAATAATTTCACAATTATACTAATATGTGAATGACATATAAGGTGTCATATCAATAATACATAAATTTGATATAAAAATTTAACCGTCCTCTAGTATTACTCTAACTATGGTATATTGTTGGAATTAATTTTTAGCTATCAAATTTTTTTTACAAGATTTACCTTCAAGACATCTTTGAGGGTCATAACCATTAGATCCACATACTGCTGTTGGGTGATTTTCTTGGGAAGATCCGACCCGGATTTGAAGTAACCAAGTATGTCGTTGCTTCCAATCACAACCGCGAAGAGGGACTTGGACAGGTGGTCTAGTGCAGTAGCTGATCCGAGCTGTTGCACCAAATCTTCGTACACCGTGGAGTCGTACTCAACTTGTTTGGTTAAAGGAATTGACTGTCTCTGTAAAACAATTTAAACTGGACTAAGATAACATCAAGCGGGGATAGCTCAGTTGGGAGAGCGTCAGACTGAAGATCTGAAGGTCACGTGTTCGATCCACGTTCACCGCAATCCAAGTTTTTGAAATTTTCAACCATTAGTTGCTATTCCCACGATTCACATACCAAGCCAATAAACCATTTTTTATTGGCACCAAACACGTTTTGTTGCTCCATTTACTTAACTTATTTACTCATAAATCTTCAACGGTCGTTTTTTTTTTATTTTTTTTTATAAACTTTTATTATATATAATATAATTGTATGTTTGTGTTGTGAAATGATAATTTGGTACTAGTAATGATACTATGAAATTTTTATTAAAATGATAAATGATTAAGACATTTTGATTTTGTCTGTGAGTTTTGATTTATTTTTGTTAATTTTTATTGAAATATAATATGAGAAGTGTAAGTGGTTGAATTGTATTTTTTAAAAATATTTTTATACCGATAAATTTATCATTTAAAGTTGAAGTAGGACTTATTAGTAAATAAGTTTCATTCCTACGACTGACTTGTAACTATCTTTTTTTTAAAAGAAGGAATCACTTCAAGCTCATATCTACATTCTAAACAGTTAATCTATGTCAAGTAAAAATAATTTATGTAAAAAATAAGTTTGATTGAACATCTAAATCCATATGAATGAATAATATTTCTTTAAAAAAATAGATGATAATTGTAATTTTGAGATTGAACTGTTAATTATTTTAAAAATAATTAATTTATTTTTTACATAGATTATTTACTCAATAAAAATAAATGATTTAAATCAAGAGAAAGAACCGACAGTGAGCCCACCAATAGGTACAACAAGCCCCTTCAGCCCAATACCCAAGTTAAGAGTTGAATTTGAGTTGCCCCCATAATAAACCATAGCTTTTTAAATTTTGCCTCTTTCGTTTATAATCGAACTTTTTAAATTTTGCCTCTTTCGTTTATAAGAGTACATGGTTCGTCCCATATCTTCTCATACCATGATTTGATTCTTTTTTCTTTTTTTTTTAATCCACAAAGAAAAAAAGCAAAGAAAAAGAAGAAAGGAGAAATTACCCATAGGTCCCATGGGAAACATGTGATCTTTATCTAATTAATTTATTTTTTACATGGATTATTTAATCAATAAAAATAAATGATTTAAATCAAGAGAAAGAACCGACAGTGAGCCCACCAATAGGTACAACAAGCCCCTTCAGCCCAATACCCAAGTTAAGAGTTGAATTTGAGTTGCCCCCATAATAAACCATAGCTTTTTAAATTTTGCCTCTTTCGTTTATAATCGAACTTTATAAATGTAATAATTGTTGGTGATTGCATGCATTTCATGCAACTAGTAAATAAATAAATAAATAAAACCACTTTTATTGAGTATAGAGTACATGGTTCGTCCCACATCTTCTCATACCATGATTTGATTCTTTTTTCTTTTTTTTTTAATCCACAAAGAAAAAAAGCAAAGAAAAAGAAGAAAAAAGGAGTTTTGAAAGCCCATGTGTGGCCCCATAGCACTATTCTAAAGGTGAAGAAGGATCAAAACAAAGTAGATTCACTACTTCCTAAATAAAAAATAAAAAATAAAAGGAAAAATTACAAATAAATTCTCAAAGTTTGACTATGTAACAAAATAAACCAAAATTTATTAATTTATTTTCAATCTAAATTATCAGTCAATTTTTATTAAGTAAAATTGACGGGAAAAAAATATTTTAGTCATTAAACTCAGTGTATGTATGCATCCTTTTCTATTGAGTTTAATGATTAAAATATTTTTTTTCATTAGTTTTACTTCACTGAACAAATCAGAAGATTACGATCTAAATTAACAAAATTAAAATTTTATTTTGAGATTTTGTTAAAATAATCTTTTAAAAATAAAAACATAAAAGGCAAAAACACTTGCATAGCGTTGATCTGTGCTATTAAAGATTCCAGCACCACCAGAGGCAAAGCTAACGCCCGTGATTGGGAATGCATTACTACCACTCTTGTTAGATACAAGGGATAGATATGGTGGTGAAATCGGTAACCCCACTTTCTCAGCTGCCAAACAACACTCCAAAACATATGAATCATAATCACCAGAACAACACATACATGTGGCACATTTATTTTCATGGCATTTTTCTGATAGATAATGTACAGGAAAGAAATAAATTTTTTCGTATAATCCTGTTGATCAAGTCTGCGCTCCTCCAAACGTCGTTGCTTTACTCCCTGAAAACACAAACGTGAGCTAGCCGGCGGATGAGTGCCGGAAACCTCTCTGATGCCTACGTCAGTAAGCTTGACAAATAGACAAAAGCTCTGTGTATCCAGAAAACAAAGTTGTGTTACCTCTCCAAGGGTGATGTGTGTGAGCTTTTATAGGTTTTGCGTGGCACAATCCTAGTAGGACTTCTACTCCTCCTTGTAGAGTCTTCCTAGGATTCATACTTCTGAAAGATAATGCTTATCCTTCAACACCCCCCTCACTGCTTAAACCAAGTGAGATGGTTTTTACCATGGCCGAACTCCAACATGACCGAAGTAATCATGGCTATGCTGAGCCGCAGAGTAGGCCGAACTATCCTTAGTTCGGTTCTTCCTTTCGCTAC